CCCACAGGCTCTCCAGGCACATCCTGCCGGAGCCCCRGGGAGGGAGCCTCCCTACCCAGAGCCCCACCCCACGCAGGGGCGCCCCCTGCAGCCAGGGCGCAGGGTTGCAGCACTTCCCCAGCCCCACCTGAGCATAGCTGTCTGGGGCTGGGCGGGTGGAGGAGGTGGTGGCTGAGCTGGGCTCTCATCCCACTCACAGCYGGGGGAACATCTGCCCGGCAGAGAGCTTTACAAAGAGCTTTCATACAAATGATCTCCTTTCATCTCCAGGAGAACCCTGGGAGGGAGGGAATCCTGTCCCCGTTATACAAAGGAGGGCACCAAGGCTCGGCTCCCCTCAGCGGCTCTAGTCCACACACACACCCTCCCGCTGTGCAGAAGCATCACTAGGAGAGCAGGTGCAATGACTTGGACAAGTGTCCCCCAAAAGCCTGTGTGTCGTAGACTAGGCTGCCATCTGTGCTGCTGGAGGAAGGAAGTGGTGGAGCCTTTAAGAGGTGGAGTCTAGTGGGAGGAAGTTAGGTCACAGGGGCGGGCCCTTGAAGGGGCTACGGGGATCACACCCCCTTCCTCTCCCTCTCTCTGCTTTCTGTCCATGAGAYGAGCGGTTCGTCCACATTCTCCCACCATGATAAACCATCTATCTCATCCCAGGCCCAAAGGCCATGGGACCACRTGATCATGGTGAGACTAGGAGCCAAAAAACCTTTCCTCTTTTTAACTTGATGTATTTCAGGTTGTTTGTTATAGTAATGGAAAGCTGACTAACTCAGCAAGACACCCTACAGTCCATATCAAGCCAGACACCTGTGCAGGCTATCCCTCAGAATGGCTCTGCTCTCTGCTGTGGCACTCAGGTAGCTGGCTGTCTTTACCCCCAGTCCTCTGGATTCACAGGCCCAGGCTGTGGTAGGGCTCTGTGACTGCCCTGGGCCCCCTCTTCTGGGTCCCAGGTCAACAGACCAGGCATCTCCCACTGCCCATCTCCAACCTCCAATCCATGCGACATCGGCACCTGTTTTTGGTGGGTTTTAAATACATACGTAAGCAGCCTTGTTATGTAAAATTCACTCTTCTACAATGTACACTCTGTGGGTTTAGTAATTCGGCATTGTGTAATGGTGTCCCCGCTGTCTAATTCCAGAATGTTTCATCATGCCTAAAACGAAACCCTGCACCCATTAGCGGTCCCTCCTCCTCCTCCCTCCCACCAGCTCCTGGCAACCGCTAATCCCCTTTCTGCGTCCATGGATCTGCCTCTATTGGACGCRTCCTGTGGACAGAATCATACCGCATTTGGACTTTGGTGACGGGCATCTTTCACTTGGCACAACATTTTTGAGKTCCATCCCTGGTGTGGCTGTGTCTGGGCCTCTGTGTTTTTATGGCCCCAGACGATTCCATCGTATGGACCTAGCACTTGGTTTACTCATTCCCCCCTCGATGGACACTCAGGTGGTTTCCCTCTCTGGCCACCATGCATCACGCTTCTAGGAACAATGACTCACAGTTACTCCCCGTGAGCCTGGGTTGCCGCAGTCTTGGCTGGGCACWAGATCACGAGCCACTCACACCTTGTAGATTCAAACAGCAATTCTTTATTCCCGAACTCACACCGGCCCTGTACAAACACGTTCTGGGGAAATCCAAGTTCTGGGCCCACACAATTCACGTCCCAAATTACTTTCTCAATTCCACGAGAACTCAACGGGAACTCCAGCAGCAGGATACGCCCTATTCCCAGCAGCAATAACCTTAAACCTGGAACTTCCCTAAACCCAGATTGTCTTAAACCGGGAACCCCCTAAACTTGTCTTAAACCGGGAACGCCTTAAACCCAAGGAGCGGGATACTTCCTAAAACCTGCAGGAAACACCCTAAACCTGGATCCACCCTGGTCCTTGAGCAGGGTCACCTTTCTCAAACACACATGCAAGGTCACAGCGGATTTCCAAGGCAAGTCCATTTAACATGGGGTACGCTGGCAAGGAAATTTCGATGCGTCATTCCTACTTGGCAATGGCCCTCAGCACTGGGTCTTCATTTCCCATGCATCCACACTTTGGAGTGGACTTGCTGGGTGGCACGGTCACTCCATCGCAGGCACCGCCCGACTCTGCGTGGCAGCCATGCCATGGGGGAGGATCCCACCACACCCTCCCCAACGCTCGCCCTCGTCTGTCTGGCTGGCTTCAGCTGTCCTGAGGATGTGAAGGGGGACCTCTGTCGCCCTCTGGGTGCTGGTGACCAGGCGCCAAGCTCTGGGTTTGGCTGGTGAGGAACAGAGTGGAGGAGGAGGCGCCCCCTTTGCCATCAGAGCAGCCAAGTTCAGAGTGAGGGAGAGACAGACGTGGTCTCCGTTCATACCACGGGTCCTGCAATGAAAGGGCTGACTCCATCGGAGACATCCAARGGGGGAAGACACGGTCTCTACTCTGAGGGACTCTTTTCTACTCTAAGGGATTTTTTTTTTTTTTGTACTGAAGATTGAAACCAGGAACCAAGGGTGCTTTTCCACTAGGCTCCATCCCTAGCCTTTTATTTTTTATTTTGAGACAGGGCCTCGATAAATTGCASAGGCTGACCTCAAACTTGGGATCCTCCTGCCTCAGCCTCCCCAGTTGCTGGGATACCACACAGAATACTATGGGACTCTCTTGATGAAGAATATAAGACCTTCACCTGCAGTATACCCACCCARTCATCTAGCCACTTCCATTCATCTGTCTGTCCATTCACCCAATGATCATCCATCCAGCAATCAAATGTTCAACCACAGGCTGGGGCCATGGCTCAGTGGTGGAGCGCTTGCCTAGCATGCATGAGGCACTGGGTTCGATCCTGAGCACCACATAATAATAAAGATATTGTGCCCACCTATAACGAAAAAATACTTTAAGAAAAATGTTCAACCACTAGTGCATCCAAACATCCACTTCCCCATTTACCCACCTACTCATCCTCTGCCTTCCCACCCATCTAGCCATTCATCTAACCAAACATCCACCCAGTCATCTATCTGTGCAATCATCCATCCATCCATCACCAGCCAGTTAGCCAATCAAATCATCCATCCATCACCAGCCAGTTAGCCAATCAAATCATCCATCCATCCATCACCAACCAGTTAGCCAATCAAATCATCCATCCATCACCAACCAGTTAGCCAATCAAATCATCCATCCATCACCAGCCAGTTAGCCAATCAAATCATCCATCCATCACCA